TTTGCCTAAACTTTTTAAAAAGACATTTCTCAAGGTTTTCTTCTTTTAACTCTGACACAATCTCCCAGAACAAGTGAGATATGCTCCTGATTATTTACACAACCTTTCCTTAAGAGGAAGGAGGCAGACTGCAAGCAAATACTGACAATAACTTAGAAGCATTTTGACTGATGATTCTTTTTTCCTCTTCTTGAACATAGGGCTTGAATTATTTTATTTTATTGTTTTAAAATTTTATTTATTTTGAGGAAGTTACCAAATTACTTGATTTGAAGGAAGAGAACAAATGAAAGAACTTGAGTTGATGTTTTGGTACAGAGCCTGGATATTTTAGATTCACACAAAAAATAATTCATGTTTAAGGCTATTAGAAATTCCACTAAATGCTTTATAATTGAAGACTGACAAAAAATTGTGTTGAGTAAAGTACCATCTAAATATCTCTAAATTTGGGTTGCCTGGCTGACTCAGTCAGTGAAGCATGTGACTCTTGATCTTGGGGTTGTGGGTTTGAGCCCCATATCAAGTGTAGAGATTACTTAAAAAAAAAATCCCTAAATTTAACTAGCTGTTGACGCTCACAGGTGGACAAAAAATTAGCCCTAAATAAGTTTGTTAAATAGTTCATAACTTGCTTTAAAGAAGGTAAAGTCAAATTAGAATAAGGGTTTTAATGTTACCGGTCTGATTGAGAGTGGATCTGTTAGTCTTTTGGTAGTACATAAGGCTTTCCCTTGTCCCTGCCCCCACTTCCTCAAGACCTCCCCGCTTCCCTAAGTCAGGATAACCATAAACTGTCCTTTAGGCAGACTGCTGTCAAAGTCTTCATGGCACGAAAAATTCCCTTGGATTTTGTTTGTCTTTACCCTTTCATAGATCTGTTCAACTGAGTGATCTGTGCTTCAGTTTCCAAATCATTATTGGCAGAAAACTGGAGTGTAGAAAGATTTATTGTTTTTAATTTAAAGCATTGCATTCTGAATGTAGACTACAAAATATAATCTTTGCTAGGCTCATTTCTTAAACTCCAAGCACTTCAGCACCATCACATAGTCCAGGAGCCCTTAATATTGTTTCCAGCTTTTCCCCCAGGATATTTTTTCTTTCAGAGAAATGTTCACTTGCAAGTCCAGCAGGAGCTTATAAGAATCTGAGCTAACAAACACTGTGGGATCACACTAGAATTCCCTTTAGGCACTTTCACGTTTTAAAATCTTGGAAGATTTTGATCTTTCTTTTACACAATTGATCACTGAAGCTAAACTCTGAAACATAATCGTCAGATCATCAGAACGTTTTGCACTGTGTGTTTTGCACGTCAGCCTAGCAAAAGCACACAACTTTCTGCAAGGGCCGAGAGGCCCCGATGGAGCATACGTGTCACAGTAGACCGAGCACGTGTGCACAATGTGGCTTTTTCTCTAACATAGACAATCTGTGTCTCACAGATCACAGTCCCGGCCTACAATCTGGACAATCAAGTTCTTCCCTCACAGTGATTTATCTTAAGAGAAAACAGAACCCCTGCCGTGTCATTTTCCATTTCATATACCCTATGTCTTAGAAAAACAATATACATCGCAGGCTATGGGTGGCAAATACTGTCCCCAAATTGAATTTTTGGATTAGAGGGAGCCTTAGGAAACTGGTTCATGCCCAGATACTCATCAAAAGAGAGGCAGAATATTGCAGTGCGTAGAAAAGACCTGTCTTCTAGTCCTGTGGAAATTGTGTGTCCACGTGCGTGTGTGCATAATATGTCATTTCGCTTTTCTGATCCTGTTAGCTTTTCCGTGAATAATATCATATTCATACACTTCAAGATGTCTTTGACTTGAAGATGCACCATTATTTTAGGTATCATTAAGAAAGAAAAATGGTGAGGGGATGGGTGAAATAGGCAATGGGGATTAAGGAGTGCACTTGTGATAAGCACTGGGTGATTAAAGTAAAAACTTAAAAAAAAAACAGGTGTAGACATCTAGGTCAATGGACAAGATTAAGGGTCCAGAAATAGACCCACATTCAAAACGTCAATTGATTTTTTTTGGTTGTTTGTTTACAAAGACATGAAGGCAATTCAATACAGGATAGCTTTTTTCTTTTTTTAAATAAATGGTCTTGGAATATGTGGATATCTACATGGAAAAAAGAAACATGACCCTTACCTCAAAAAGAAAAAAAAAATGATGCCAATTAAAGTATGACATAATTCTTTTTATCACTTAGAATTATTGCTTATTTTTGATATTTGTGGTTTTTTTAAGTTAGCTTTTTTTTTTAATTAAGTAAGCTCTATGCCCAACATGGGACTTAAACTCATGACCCCAAGATCTACTTTTAATATTCGAAAAAGTTCTTTTAGACTTAGATATAAATTTTTGTCATACTTTATTCTTTTTAAAATTTTCTTTTTATTTTAGAGAGAGAGAGAGAGAGAAAGGGGGGTTAGAAGGGGCAGAGGGAGAGGAAGAGAGAAACTCAAGTAGACTCTGTGCTCAGCGTGGAGCCCCACACGGGGCTTGATCTGACGACCCTGACATCATGACCTGAGCTGAAACCAAGAGTCAGATGCTTGACTGCACCACCCAGGCACCCCAGTACTTTACTCTTGTATATAGAAAAAGGAAAATAGAAACCAAATAATCAGTTAAGGTATTCTGAAATTTTCCTTGGAGTCCAGCTTTTCAGATTTACTTTTGAATCATATTTATCAATGTGTTTGGATATTGGATGTTAATGCAGCATTTTCAAAATAGACAGCTTTACTATAATTATTATGCATTCCCCCCCCCAAGCTTCTAACACTATTTACAAGTCTTGATGCTGTGGCTTTTTTTTTTTTTTTATCTTATCAAAAGGTGTCATCAGAAGGCTTCTGGACAAGAGCTGCAACTCAACTGGTCCTGAAATGCCATGGGTTTAGAGTTTTCAATGTTGCCACAAGAAATAACTACAAGTTTGTACATCAACAATGGCAAGTGCATTGCAATTCCTGCCTGGCCCACAAGGATAGCAAGATACTAACCAGTTCAGAGATGTTAAAATGTGAAATAAAAGTGTGTTTCTTAGAATCAAAGTATTGATTCACAAAAACAGATGAGGTTGTTGTGACTTTGTAAAATGACTTAGTACATTTTAAACATCATGCTTATGTAAGACTTTTTAATTTTGGTATTCCTGTGTCCACTGGGATAATAAGAGAGGTTGCCATGGAGAATATTATGTCTGCTAGGTTTTCGAAGAACACCATCAGACTCAGAGGCCAAGGCAGCTCCTTAAGGGGTGTTATTTTTAGAGGTCAAAGTGGTCACCTTTCCTCCTTACTATATCTTACATCCCTGCCAGAGTCTCTGAAATTCCAGAGTATTTAAATTCTTTTAGGGAAGATGCATGTTAAAAACATAGACAGTATAGAAGAAGGGGTGTGTTAATCTATTATTAGTCAATAACACCTTGGCTTAAGGTTGTTTATCAGAATAATTTTGGAATTGACAGCCTACTTAGAAACTAATCTATGGACATGTAATGAGAAGAGAATAGTTGCAAAGTGATAAACATGTACAAAGTGGCAGAGTATGGCATAAAAGAAATATATCAATGCTGTACATGTTACCAGGATCACAACCTACCTAACCCCAGCAAATGACCATGTTAACCGACCTTAAAGGTCTTGAGATGGACGGTTGATTCTGGAAATACTTAGGATATCTATCAAGTCATGTCATCAGGGCGTTTAAAAAAATAATTATGTTCTTTAAAATGGGGCTATTGTAGCATAGTGGGTAAAGAATGGGTGACTTGCTGAGTGTGATTTTTGAGAACTTCCTATCCCTGTTTTATCCCTCACCTTCCCCATCCACAATGGGGGTGGTAACCATGCTCACTTGTATACGTGAGCATTCCTTTCACTTTGTCCTCTGCTGGCCACCCTTGTCATTGCTGAATGCATGCTGCCGTTTCTGGCATCATTTCTAGACATAACAACATTCAATGGAAGAAGATAGGATGTTTTTTCCTTCCGTTTTCCTTTAAGGGAGAGGAAATATTTCCCAGATGCCTTGTCGTTCATTGGCTAGAATTAATTCACATGATCTTTCTTAACCCATCACTGGCAAGTGGAGAGGGTTTACTGTCATCACTTACCAACTAGGATTCCCTCCTTAGTCACCTGTGAGGGATGGATGCCCTGAATAAAGAGGAATTCTGTCAACAGAGAAGTACGTGGGAATGGCTGTACGCTGACCCACTGAACAGTTCTGTTATACTCTTCCTTAGGATTATTGGAAAGCTACGTGATAGAACTTCTGTGAAGTACTTAGTAATAATATCGCAATGGCAAATACTTCTGTGATACTTGCTGTGTGCACTACATTGTCCTATCCATGGACAGCTGTAAATATACAGTAATCATCACAAAAGCCTCATGAGTCATTTGTGTGATTGTTACCTCCTTTTTACATATGCAGAAACTGGGCAGAGTGGTTAAGTAACTTGCCTAAGGTTTTACAGCTTGTAGGTGGCTATGCTGGGATTAGAATCCTGCTTTGTGGTCCAGAGCACATGGGCTTAACCACGCTCCTGGTAAATAGTAAGTGTTCAACCCCTGTGAGCTATGACCGTCATCTGTGCTGACCTATGTTCCTTAGGCAACATTTACAGATTTTTGTCTTCTTGTTTTGTTCTTTGAAGAGACGGAAAGATACATTTTTAAAAATGTATAGAAGGGGTTTGAATAAAAATGGAATAGAAGTGTTTGAAAAACACTTCAAACTTTCTGTCATAGCCTATTAGTGGGTCATAAAGTCTATTTAATGAGTCACAACCAGCATTTAAAAAGATAAAATATAATACAATAGGATAAGATAAAGCAATGGAATCAAATAAAAAATATCAAGCATACCCCTTATAGTAACTTTTGTCTCCATTTCAATTATATGTTCATTTTGTGTATTTGTTCCAGGTTGCCAAGTAAAATGTATTTTTAATTTTAGGTTGTGGTCAGAAAAAGCTAGAAAAACCTACTATAAAATCTTGCTACTCGAAGAGTGACTAAGCAGCATCACAACCTCTGGGAGCCCCTTAGAAATGTACACTCCGGCTCCACCCTAGGACCTGCTGCCTGGGAATCTGTGTTGTAACAAGAGACCCAGGTATTTCTTGTATATTCGCTGAAGGTAAAGAAGCCCTGCTCTAATGCTGGCTGTGTTCTGCCTAATTACACGTGCCCTGCACAGAGTATTCTCAAAATGTGGGGGGTGAGGAGAAGTGAACGTAGTTGGAAAATGATGCTCAAATGATCTGCTCCCCAGGTTCCTTTAAGTGGACTTCCCTACAGAATAACTCAGAGAAATGGCTCCCTGACTTTCCTTTTTCTTCTTTTCCTTTTTTGGGACTGAACGGTGATTTTTTTTTTTCCTGATTAGCTGATTTTACACACACATACTCTATACGCACACATTTCCAGTTTCTCTTGAAAAAAACTGGAAAATCTGACAACACGAGGCTAACATTTCTATAGGGCAGCAATCAGCTGGAGCTGGGTACAGTCCATGCCCTGTGGACAGAGCACTGAGCCTCAGTCCTCGCCACTCCCCCGCACAGTCTGCTCATACACAGTACTTGCCTGCTCACTGAGAGCACTCAATTTTGTGATCCCTGCGATATATTATCCTGATTTTAAATCTTTCTTCATGGATCTTAATCTGTGGTCATTAGATCTTCTTTGGACTTTCCTACTGAGAATGATTAAAAAAAAAAAAAAAAAAGGCTCTGCACCAGCAACAGAATTTAGTAAAAGTGTTATCATCTCAACCATGACAAAAATATATGGCTCTGGATCTCCTGCTGCTTAATTGTCTTCCTCGGTTTTTATACTGCTGACCCCGATTCTGCTTCTAAGAAAGTGGGACCCAGACTTTTTGCCATTGTCTTATGATTATTCCTCAATTCTTCTTAGTGGGGTTTTGGTCTTCCTAAATATGTGCCATTGCCTTGCCTCTTCAGATGTTCATCCCATCGTTTTATTTATTTGATCGGAGACTAGTTTGTTGTTCTGAGAGGACAAATTAATGTAATGTCAATTTAGTGTACTCAGAGTGCCTCAGGCTGTGGAATGGACCAGCCTTGACAGGGATGCAGTATTGGAGAGTAGTTACAAATGTCCTTAGAAAGCATTTGGGGTATGAATTGGGTCAGAGTGAGACACACAGAATGAAAAGTTCTGAATTCCCTCCTGTGAATAATCATTTCCTCATTGTAATGGGTTTAGCTTAGTGCTCCCTTCTATAAGAAAGATGTTTCTGGTTGTGTGTAATTGAAGACCAGATTCAAATTGGCAACGAAGGAAATTTACTGGCTCACAGAGTCAAAAAGTGCAGCATAATCAGATCAAGGCTCCAGTTCTACTTCTCTTTTGAGTCTGTCAGCTCTGCCCCTCTCAGTATCTGCTTCATTTTTAGACTTGCTTCCTATATAGTAAATAAGTAGCTACCTTGTTGCTAAGAACAAGGAAATTTCCCAGAAATCCTCACAAAAATCTTATATCCATCCCTCGTCAGCACTGGGCCATTTGCCCATCCTTGAATGATTCAGGGTAGCCAACATAACCAGTCAGAGCTAACCAGGGCTTACTCTTTATTAGCTCATCCATACTGCATGGCTGAATGGGTGGGGTAGGGAAAACTAGTCCAGTGTCCAGAAAGCTGGACAGAGCCACCTTCTTTAGAAGTTATACAGCCAGGAAGAAGCTTCATTAATCATGACCATCCTCTCAGTTGCTACCTCACATATAGAAAAAAAATACTTTGTATGGTAGCCCTTCTTTTCTTTCATGAGGATGAAACACTGATCATAAAAGGATAAGTACTGGTTATACTGACAGGCTGCCATAGCAAAATGCTGTAGACGGGGAAGCTTGAACAATAGATACTTATTTTCTCACAGTTCTGGGGGCTGGCAAGCCCAAGAGTAGCATGCCAGCGGTTGGGTTCTGGTGGCTTGCAGACGGCCACCTTTTTGCTGTGTCCTCACATGGCAGAGAGAGAGAGAAAGAGAGAGACAGAGGGAGAACTCTCTCATCCTCTTCTTCTAAGGTCCTAATCCTACCAGATTAGGGCACTACCCTTTTGACTTCATCTACCCTAAATTCACTTCTAAAGATCCTGTCTTTGGAAAGTCGCATTGGGCATTAGGGCTTCACCATATTAATTAGAGGGGGGACAGCCTGAGTATATAGCAGTGCCCAAATGTTAACCATTGCCCAAGTATTTTTTGAGCATCTGTTCTGTACTCAGGCTGGACCAGGCATTGTGATCATTGGGGGTGTGGTGGGATGGGATGAAATACTCACTGAGAAGGCAATCATAAACTAGAACAGACGCTGTGAGATAGAAGAAATGCTGAGGGAACTCCAGAGGGGCAGGGATCAATGAAGAGTAGAATGGCTCAAAGCTTTATGGAGGAGTTGAGGCCTAAGCTAGGATTTGGAGTCAGTGAAAGAAAATAAGAACTATGTGACAGGATAAAAATCCAGACTAGGAGGGTAACAATGGGGATGGAGGGAAAGGGTCAGGTACCAGAGAGGTCTTACAAAACAGAGTGAGAAAACTTTCTAACTGACTGGCATGGAGAGGACTTCCTAACTGAGGCAAGGAGTGAATGGGTGAGGGGAGTGGTTCTTTCAACAGAGATCAGAAATTCCAGAAGGAAGGAAGGTATGGGGAGTGGGGTGAGGTACATGGGGAAAGATGAGGAGTTCTTTTTAGAAATAACAGCTTTTAAAAGCTGGAGAATTTACTAAGTAAAATATCTGTGATGTCATTGAGCATAAGGGCAAGGAGATGAGAAAAAGTAGGACTGGAGATGATAGATATTCGAATCATTATCATAGGGTTGCTAGTTGAAGCTAAGGAAATGAGTGATCTATTTGAGAAAGTATGTAGAGAGATGTATGGAAAGAAAAGAGCTAATAATCATCATGACCCTGAAGGATCTAGCAATAGCACATGGTGTAACGGTGTACGACTATTGAAAATTTAATGGATTTAGTTCTGATTTTCTCAGGGTATACACAGCACTTAGTGTTATGTAAAAGGAACATTTCTTTGTCGGTTTGATGACTGAATAGATGAATGTTAGAAGTTGAAAATCCAAAATGCCTACTGTGCACCAGAGCTGTTTTAAGATCAGGCAGCTTCCCCACTTCCATTTAATTGATTGTTGTGATCATTATTTATGACTTACATTATTTATGACTTACGGATGAGCTAAAATGTTTCTCCCATCCCACAAAGGGGTTAATTAGCTCCGTGTTCAGAGGCGTCCTCCGACTGTCATACTAGTCCAAGTATATTCACTGAGGCACTCCCAGTGGGCGGGGATCCTGGAAGAGCACTGTGCTGTGACCTAGTTTTCCCCCTTGTTAGCAGGTCCTTTCTCCTGGGCCTACCTCTGCCTTCCCTTTGCAGTTCTGCTCTCATGGGCCTTTCTCCCCATACGAGCCGCTGCTGCTAATGACCGGGTTCACCTTTGTGCAGACGATGTGGAGTGGTCTTTCTTTGAATTTCCTACTCCTCCCTTTGGAGCTCAGAGCTGCTCCCAACTGAACCCAATATTTTAGATCCTCGAACCTCTTCTCTTCTAGCAGTATTTGCCATTCTAGTGTCTAGTTCTTGTGGAGTCCTGGTGTGGAAGAATGAATTTTATGCTACCTTGGGGCTTTCTGAAGACAAAGCCTCGATTCAGATGAGGAGCTAATAAATAATATGTGTAGTGTTATAATAAAATTCTAGGACTTTAAATCCAGACAGTCTTGGATGTGAATCATTAGGCTTTAATTTGACATGTGTGTCATTTGGGACAGCTGCTCACCCTTCTTGAAAACAGTTTCCCCAACTAAAGGTAAGTGTGACATCTGTCTTTGAAAGTGGCGGTAAGGATAAACAAGGTAGATGAACATAAAGAGACCTTGCACAGTACCTGGCATATCGCAGGAGCTTCATAGGATGGTATTTTGTGTGACAGGCCAAAGCAAAATACACGTGTGCCATTTCTCCACTTCACAAATCACCCTGCATGGGCTTATGAGGAAGAAGATTAAGGCAGACAGACATACAATCTTTCCCCTAATGTAGGAATATATACTCCAGGTTCTACCTGGTCAGAGCTTTTCGATTTCTATGATGTTATTTTGTTAGCTAGTGCTTCAGTGTACTGAAGAATCGTACCTTAGAGAACTAAACAAGTTAATAGACTTTCCTTAAATTGGAGCAATTTTCTTCTCCTCTATTGAATCAAGAAAGCTGTCAAAGAAGCATAGAATGGTGGAGATAATACCCTAAGGTAACAAAACTCCATTATGTTGTATTCCGTTAGAACTGAGCCGAAGGTATTTCGGAAAGAAATTTCACTGTGAAATAAGAGGGGATTGTAGCCTGAACTTTGTACTGTGTTTTTCTCCAGGTTTTTCTATTGTGTACCTTAGTAGCGTTGTCCCAAATGGAAATATCCCAGGTTCACTTTTTACTCTTGAGAGAATCTAGTGTTAACACTAAATTGGAGATTATCTTTAAAGTAAACAACATTAAGGCGAACAGAGAAATATTCAGCTTCCCTTCGAAGGAACATTTTGACTTGCCTATCATCTTCCTCCCTCCGTTTATGTAAGCCAGAGTCAGTGGTATCTTTCCCATAAATAAGCAGGCAGGTGACTTCGCAGCTGCTCTTGAGTAAGAGCCGGATCTTTTTAGAAGTTTTATTCTCTTCTGACTCCAACCAACCAAGGCTCAACTACTCTATGAATTAATGTTTGTTGTCCTAACTTTAAGAAACCAAATATATTCCTTATTTACTAGTCACATCCTGAAATGTTTTAGATCTATATCTTAGCATTAGGAGTATATATTAAAATTGTTCAATGCTATAGGTGAAAATACACATCTTCATGCTAGAATTGGGAAGATTCTTTTTTTTTTTTAAGATTTTATTTACCCAATTTGACAGCGAGAGAGGGAACACAAGCAGTGGGGGTGGGAGAGGGAGGAGCAGGCCTCCCGCTGAGCAGGGAGCCCGATGTGGGGGTCAATGTGGGGCTCGATCCCAGGACCCCGGGATCATGACCTGAGCCTAAGGCAGAGGCTTAACGACTGAGCCA